CCCTACTGGTGAAAACTCGAAAGAGAAAGATGTCTAGTACCAATAAGCCTCCTAAAGGACCAGGGAGCTCTCCAGGGATGCCGAGGCCAGTAGGAGCTGCAATATCAGCCACCCAATCAAAAGGATTTCAAGCTATGATCCAAGAATCTATCAAAAGTGGAATTTTTGAGGCTACAGATCCCATAAAAGAAGTTATGAAAGACATGACGCAACAGCTTGCCACACAGATGATGGATTTACAAAAACAAATAGCAGAAAACACACAAAAAAATAGGAGAGCTGAATAAAACAACTGAGAAGGTAAAAATTAAAATGAAGGAAATGGAAAGTAAACTCCAAGCAACAGATATCAGACAAACCCAAATGGAACAAGACCTGATCAGACTACAGGTGGATAAAGCATCTTACATTTTAAGATTCCAAAATATTCCTGAAGAAAAAGGTGAAGATATTAGAAGAAAAATGGCGAGCTGTCTTGCTGAATAAAGGGGGGAACAGAAGACCCGGAGACGGTGTTGGGGGAAATAGAAGCAGTTTACAGGATGAATTCGGCGTTTGCCAGAAATAACTAACTCCCCAGAGAGGTTCATGTAAGATTCCATAAAAGAATCTACAGAGATGAAATTTTGAGGGCGGTTAACAATCAACCATTGATGTTTAACAGTAACAAAATAAAAGTACTGAAAGAGGTGCCATGGCGGGTTCGAGGGGAAAAAAAGAATATGCCAATTTAACCACGGTGCTAAGGAGAAGTGGGATACAATCAAGGCTATTTTGTGGCAGGAACGCACATTTATTAATGTGGAATCATAGGGTGACGTGGTAAATTCCAGGGTTTCTCATTAATCTCCTTTATGGCAAATTCCAAGGCCAGGATGTACTGCGAAGTTTCTTGCTCCTCTGAATATTAGCTGTCAGCTGTACTGGAATGCTAAACTAGTGAGGGCCACTGTTGGTCTCAGAGGCTGCAATCTCCAGAACACTTCCTTAGGAGTAAGCCTTGCTGAATCACATGAAGCTTCCTTCTGAGTAGACCTGCTTAGAATTGCTGCAGAAGCTTAGAAGAGTTATACTGTCATATTGTTTGTGGGGGGAAAACCTGAATGGTTTCTTCCCCCAATAACTTCAAAATCCCACTTGAAACCCCCCTCAAAATCCCCAACAAAATGTTGCTCCCATGATTTCTACCCAAAAGCTCAGGTCTGTTTCCGGAAATTCCTGGCCCGGTAGGTGTGGCTGAATGACACCAGTCGTAGAGATGAAAAGAGAGAAAATGCTTCTCCACCAATAGAGTTTTCCAATCACACAAAATATAATACACACAGAGACACACCTAACAAGGGTTTCTCAGGGTCTTTTGTCTATGTCTGTAATCCACGTTCTGTGTATCGACTCACAGTTCCTGGAATTTTAAGGTATTGCCCGCATGACCCCACCAAAACTTTTACCCCTACCAGGTTTGATTTTTAGAAGCTGAATTGCTACCTTCAGTTCCTTGGGAGAATAGCCGACCCCAGCAAGAGGTGGAGTATTACGTGAGATCTGGCTACCAATGTTTATGCAGATCTGTCCCTTTAAACCCTTCTGTTGACGCCAAGAACCAGACCAATATTAAAAGGAAATAAGTTTATTATAGGAAATATTAGAATTTAAATATATACACACAGATTAAAGAGCAGAAAAAAAGATATTAGAAAGAAAGGAGGTAGTGGACCAATAGGAGGGAATGGGAAGTTTTGGGGGTGAGACATTACTGAACATGGGGAGCTCAGTGGACATTTTGGGAGTTGTTAGTCAAAACCAAAATGCGGATTTCACAAAGTCAAAGTCAGAAGGAAGAGAAGGAAGCAGTCAAATGACGGAGAAGGTAAACAGAAAAAGTTCCGTGGGTGGGAGAGAAGAAAAGAAAAGAAAAGAAAAGAAGCTGCTATGAAGAGGGAAGGAGCAAAACCTGAAGACTAGGGAACAAATCAAGGTAGGTTGGTTGGAGAGTGGGAGGGAGGAAGAGCAGAAAGCCATGAAAGGTGAGGGTATGGAGGCTAGGCCACAACCTTTCATAATGGGAAGCATGATACTGCTGAGAAGGAAGTAGGTGTACTATTTTCCCATGGGGGCATACCACGTCTGGTGGGAGAAGAAAAAATTAAAAATTACCATCAGCATAACAATATTACATCAGTTCCAGAGAAAGTCAAGAAGTGATATCACAGAGCTCTAAGAAACACTGGAACTTCTACTGTTTTACCATAGAGTTTGGGCAACCCCTAGGGTGGTGCAATATTACTTCTGGGTTTTCCCTGGAAGGGACAAAATGCCATTGCACTGATGGCACCCCCCCCAAGTCCATGCCATCCAGTCTGTTGTTGGATGCCTGCTGCTAGCAATGCTAGATGGAAGCAATCAGAAAAATTCCACTCTATGTAAACCTTGAATTATAACCTAAAATAACAGAGATAGAAACAATTTATTTGTTTCGCTTTATCAAATACTCCCTCTTATTTAGATCAGGCCTACATAGAATGATAATGCATTTGGGGAAAAATATACAACTCAGCAATCCAGTGCTGGAGGCCAGGATGGAGAAGATCTCCACAGCCACCATGAATTTCCCTTTGGTGCTGAGATAGGTTGGAACAAAGGACATCCAAACACTGCAAAAGACCAACATGCTGAAGGTGATGAATTTGGCTTCATTGAAACTGTCAGGTAAGTGCCTGGCTAGGAAAGCTATGGTGAAGCTCACAATGGCCAGAAAGCCCATGTAGCCCAAGACACAATAAAACATGGTCACTGATCCCTCATTACATTCCACAGTGATTTCTCCGGTTACTGAATATGTGTCAAAATCTGGGAATGGGGGAAATGTTAGTAGCCACACATTGCAAATAGTGGCTTGAACAACAGAGCATAAAACAACAATGGAGGCTGCCAAACCTTCTCCCATCCACTTCCTCATCCTTGACCCCAGTGCGGTGGCCTTGAAAGCTAGAATCACAGTGATGGTTTTGGCCAACACACAGGAAATTGCTACTGAAAAGATCATGCCAAAAGCAGGTTGTCGAAGGAGACATGTCACCTTGTGAGGCTGGCCAATGAATAGCAAAGAACAAAGGAAGGAGAGCAGAAGAGAGATTAGGATTGTGTAAGTGAGTTTCCGGTTGTTGGCTTTGACTATGGGAGTGTTCCGGTTCCTGATGAAGATCCCAAGAATCAAAGATGTGACGAAAGAAAGGGAAAGGGCAAAAATGGACAGACTGGTCCCCAAAGGTTCTTTGTAAGACAGGAAGCTTATAACTTTGGGAAGGCATAAGTTTTGCTCTTTGTTTGGATAGTGATCTTCTGGACACTGAAAACAGTCATCTGTATCTGAAAAAAATCAGATTTCTATAATTGGATGCAATTATTGGGCTGCCATATTAATTTGAATGAGTGCTGCTAAACCCAGTGATGGCAGACAAATCTGCATCCTTCTCATGGAGTTAAATCTACAAAGTACAACTAATCTGGAATTAGTCTGGCTGTCCTTGACCAGAGCCATGGCCTTCTCTACCCTGACTCCAACCTGGTGGAACTCTCTGCTGAATAAAATCCATGCCCGACGGGACATTCTACAGTCCTGCAGGGAGTGCAAGTCAAAGATATCCTACCAAGTGTTTGGTTCCAGACAACTATGGTTCTGTCTTGGCACTCCCCCTTCCGTTCCACATGAGATAGTGGCCTTATTGAAATGTCAGTGCCATCTGTAGTCAATGTAGACATGCAATGAATTAGACCATTCAGTTTTTACAGTCTTATTTAAATTTTTGTTTGTTTTATTGATGTTTTATACAACTGTGTTGTACAGGGCCCGAGCTTGGTTCCACTGTGGAGGGCAGTTGATAAATTCAATATAGAAAATATAATTAAAATTGTAAGTAAAAGTTTGGGGGCTACTGTGACAAATGGAAGCTCAAACCAAATGGACAGAGTCTGTTCATTCTTGATATCAAGGTACAGGAGTGAGCACTACTTCCAATTTCTCTTGATCTGCTGCTTTTTGTTTTATTCTTTCCAATCAAGTGAGGTACTGTGCACATTGCCACACACCTAACAGTGATTGGATCACATTGTATAATCTCACAATGTTTTTACCACAGCAATTACCACAATTACTTTGTTTTTTAATGGGGGCCAATAAGCTTTGAAGAATGCATGCTGCATTACCCAGAACATTTCTTAGCCTTGTGGCTAGACATCTTCCCAACAGGGCACGGAAGACAATCAAAGCAGCAAAATGGCTCCATTTTGTAGTGATTAATCTTTCATTTAAGTGAGATACTGTGCACCAGTAAGCCTTGAAGAATGCATGCTACATACCTAGAATGATTCTTACCCTTGTGGTTGGAAATCTTCCCAACAGGGCACGGAAGACAATCATAGCAGCAAAATGGCTCTCCTTCTTTCTCTCTCCTGCCATAACCAGGACTGCACCTGTCATTACATATGGAAAGTGGTGGTGTCTGTCCAAAAATTTAAAAGGAGAATTACATTACCTGTTTTTGAATACTGTCTCACTGATCTCTTTTTTTCATGTTGAGAAAAATGTTGCTGCTCAAACATCATAAGGAATTAAACTGAACAATACTATACAGTAGATAGTTTGAACTTCCACATTCACTGGAGATGCCCATGCAATAAAAGATTCTTAGAAAATATACACTTATCCTCAAGACTTCATCCAGCACTAGAACCTTTGAAATAGATTTCACAGTATTTTGACACCACTTTCTAGCTTTAGGTGCCATCGGTTAGTATTCCTGATGCTGTTAATTTTCTGATGGTTCTTTGACAAGTTGCTCTATTACAGTTTAAGTTCTAACCTGAACATTGGAAACTTACTAAATATCCTATATTGGTGTTCTGTCTTGCAATTTTGGCCTAAAGATTAACTAACTGTGCAGTTCTGAGGACCACAGCCAAAAGGACTTAGGGAGTGAGTGTTACAATACCGTGGGAATGTTTCAACAACATATCTTGGAGTTGCACCAGTTTATGCCAGAGTTACACTGGTGGAGTCCAAAGCATCAAGTGCTAGACTAAGCAATGAAGCTGCCTTCGCAGCACAGAATGGGGCAAAGCTGAGGGCACAGCAGGAGTCAGTGGACTCTCTAAGCCTCTCCGGCCTGAGAACACCACCTGAACCTCGGGTAAAGTTATGCCAGGACAAATTGTGGTCTTACCATTAGACACCCAGGCCAAGAAACACCCCTATTGTTGTAGTCCTACCCACAAGCCCCAGAATAGTTCAGGATGCTGCTGCTACTGCAGATCTTTTTTTCTCAGTCCCTTTCCTAGACACTTCAAGAACACCACATTGCACTACGGTGTTGGGGAAAACACAGAGAGTGCACCTTACACCACAGAGGCACAATTTAGCATTAACACCCAAAGGATGTTCATAGAATCATCAAGTTGGAAGGGATCTCCAGTGTCATCTAGTCCAACCTACTGCACAATGCAGGAAATTCACAAATACCTCCACCCAACAGACCCCCAGTAACTCCTGTTCTATGCCCAGAAGATGATAAGAGCTTCCACGATCTCCAGCCTAACTGACCTGGAGAAAAATTGTTTCCTGACCACAAAGTGGTGATAAACATTCCAGTGCCTAACACATCTTTTTCACAACTCTCACAGATACCTCAGCTCCAAAGACTCCTATCAAGGCCATAACCCTGCACCCAAACCATGGAAAGGCACTGTATCCCAACAGGTAAGTAGAAGTAGGGGTACATCAGCCTCAGTCTAGAAGGCTGCAGCCACTCCCCTGCCCCCCCAAACATACTGTGGAGGCTGCCTCAACAATGCATCAGCCCATATCTAAGGTGATCAGTGTGCTTATAGGGACAATTGAAAGTTGGTCTGCCCAACTCTATATCATTAAAAGGATGATACACCTCTGAAAGTGTACTGAGGAGTGCCTCCTATAAGGCAGGAAGAGGGCATGCTGGCAGGCTGGTAAGGGTGCTAGTGATCCTGTAAGAAGCTGTAAGCATGGTACTTTGCCAGGGTGCCTATGACCTTGCAGGTTGGAGACATAGGGGTTTCAACTGTGGATTGCAATGGCTGGCGGCTACCCTTCTGTGCTTGGTGGGCCAGTTGGCCAAATATATATAGCACATATTTCCTTGCAGGACAGTTGTTGGTGAAGTTTTCTGACAAGCAGTGCCTTTGCTATGGTGGACCCTTGCAACTGAAATTATGCTACAGCCAGCAGGCTATTCAGATTGTGCTCCCCCTGTACTGGTGAGTGGCAGGATTTTGTGGGGGGGGAGGGGTACTGACAAGTTGCATCTGACTTCTGGCAACCACATAGGGCTTTCAAGGCAAGAGGCCTTAAGAGGTGGTTTTCCATTACCTGCCTCTGCTTAGCAACCCTGGACTTCCTTGGTGGTCTCCCAGCCAAGTAGTAATCAGGGCTGACCTGGTTTAGCTTCTGATATCTGACAAGATGAGGCTAGCTTGGCCTATTGAGGTCAGAGTAGAATGGTAATTATAACTGAAGAGAGAAGATAGAGAAAAGAAAAGAAGAAGAGATTGGGTTTATACCCCCACCCTTCACTTGGAGTCTCAGAGTGGCTTACAAACTCCTTTCCCTTCCCCTCCCTGTCAACATTCAGTGTTGAAATTAAGTCTGGCTATATATCTGTGGCATCTATGTGACAGGAGCTGACAGCTCTAGGTGACTGAAGAGCTGGCTCTGACCTGTTCTGGCTGGTTCTTGCCAGAGCTAATGAGCATGACTCAGCATTGGCCCTGATTGGCTGATGGCTGTATAAGTACAATGAGGTACTGTGTAACATACTTCTTCTTGTGATATTGGTTGTCTGCGGAGCATTATGTCAGTCTGTGTAATTATTGGTGAAGGCTTTGTAAATAAACTGTAAATAGCTTTTACACAAGCCTTGAAGACTCCAGCCTTTATTGGATACCCTTGCACCCGTGTTCGGTCTGCAGTGGGCTAGCACCGTGCAATAGTGACACTCCCAACAACAGACACCCTGTGAGGTAGGTGGGGCTGAGAGAGCTCCTTCAAGAACTGCCCTTTCAAGGACAGCTCTTGCCAGAAGCTCAAAACTATGGCTTACCCAAGGTCATCCAGCAATTGCAAGTGGAGGAGTGGGGAATCAAACCCGGTTCTCCCAAATTAGAGTCCCTGCACTTAACCGCTACACGCTACACCAAACTGGCTCTCTACTTTTTTGACTGTTACACTGTGCTTCCTATACAGAGAGGTTTTTAGACTAACTTGCTTATAAAGCAAAAATTATACCACATAGCAATTTCTGGCTAACAGGTCATGTTTCCTAATCATTGTTATAGGGTAGTGGAAAAGAATACGCTAGCAACCAGAAGCAAAATTAACTTTATCTATAACAGCATAAGAAGTAGACCACTTCTAACTAAGATGGGCTACCAGATACCTAGCTAAAATGACTTGGGCTTTCAAAGTCTTTTTAAAAACCAAAACATCTGCACACAAATGCCAAAATCAAAAGTTCAGCACACAACTGATGCATATGTACTCAGCAATGAGTTACACCAAGTTCAAGGGAACCTTCTGCATAGTGTCAATGTCTTGCCTAGTGTAAATCTGAGGATGAAACTGATCAAAGAAATGGAATTCATCTAACTCACAGAATGCAGACTCTATTTCACAGAATACAGATTCAGGCATATTTCACTGTCTGAATTAACAAAAGCACTTTTTGAAGAAAGGAAAGGAGAAGTCCTAAAATTAACATGCTGCACACCTCTTTAAAGGTCTGAGGCCATACAATGGCATCTTCATGGATGGTGAACCCTTTTCCTGTGGGTGTTTTGGGGATTACGTTCCCAACTTTGACTTGCAGAAAGGACTGGTTTGGGAATGTAATCCAATTGATAATATCATATCCAGCTATTAATTCCCCATTCTGATCAAAAGAGATCTTTTCCCCAGCACTGTTGTTAAAAGAGATGCTTCTCAGAAAGTGGTGGAGCTGACAAAAGAAAGAAAAAAAGGAAGGAAGGAAATTTTTTAAAAAATATTTCAACAAAGAAATACTATTGTTGGTCTCCTAAAAAGCCTTGTGCATGGTTAGAGCATTAGCAATAGTTGTTAAGGCAAAAATATATTCTTGGATAGTGACATTTTCTTTCCATTCTACTACTGGGTTTCTGAAACACCCAGTGTATAGTGCATTAAATGGCTTTTCAACCATGAGCAATTATCCTGTGGATGAAGATTGTTTCTCTGGTAGATAGGAGACCTTCCCCAAACAGAAGGAGTTTTTCTCTAATGGAAAAATTTCTCTCTGCCTTGAATAGAGTCCTTCTTCCATGGAAAATGACCTGTAGGGAAAAGGAAAACATAGGGTTCCTTCTCACAAATCAATGCCCCCTTCTTGAATTAGCATCCCTCAATATAACTATAAATTGTAGAGGGGGAGGGGGCTGTGGAGCAGCGACACCGTTGATCTCTGCTTTTAACTTAAGAAACATTTCATTGGGAACATTTGGCTGTACAATATCAGGAGAATATATAGTTGACCAGAGGTGACTATTTTCATTTTTCTTTGTTTACTTTCAGTTATTAGCTCTTTAATACATTGACTAATACATTGACTCATACACTTTTATTGTTTCTAGAGAAGTACTACTGGACATGTGATTGCACTGGAGGTTTCATTTGTATTTTTGTATTTCTCTTCTTTGCCCAGTGGTTAAACTTTGGAAGTAAGTTAATGGGTTTTTGTTTGATACTATATTTACAATGTATTTGTTAGTTGTAGTATATGTGTTTAATTGTCTATTTCTTTTATTTTTACAGCAATTGTTTTCTGGTCTTTATTTCATATTTTGTATATGTATGATTGTATATATTTTTACATATCAGCCAACATGTTCTATTTGTATTAGACTTCTGAGGAAGGCCTGTAAAGGCCGAAACATGCAAGGTGGCCGAAAAGTGCAAGGTGATGCACATTGGAGCCAAAAATCCTAAATATAAATACACGTTGATGGGGTCTGAACTGGCAGAGACTGATCAAGAGAGAGATCTTGGAGTTGTAGTAGATAACTCACTGAAAATGTCGAGACAGTGTGTGACTGCAATAAAGAAAGCCAATGCTATGCTGGGGATTATTAGGAAGGGTATTGAAAACAGATCAGCCAATATCATAATGCCCCTATATAAATCAATGGTGAGACCTCATTTTGAATACTGTGTGCAATTCTGGTCACCACACCTTAAAAAGGATATTATAGCTTTGGGAAAAGTGCAGAAAAGGGCAACTCGAATGATAAAAGGGTTGGAACACTTTCCCTGTGAGGAAAGGTTAAAGCGCTTAGGGCTCTTTAGCTTGGAGAAATGACGACTGAGGGGTGACATGATCGAGGTTTATAAGGTTATGCATGGGAAAGAGCAGGTAGAGAAAGAGATACTTTTCTCCCTTTCTCACAATACAAGAACTCGTGGGCACTCCATGAAATTGCTGAGCGGTCGGGTTAGAACGGATAAAAGGAAGTACTTCTTCACCCAAGGAGTGATTAACACTTGGATTTCACTGCACAGGAAGTGGTGGTGGCTACAAGCATGGACGGCTTCAAAAGGGAATTAGATAAGCATATGGAGCAGAGGTCCATCAGTGGCTATTAGCCACAAGGTATAGATAGGGACTCTGGGGCAAGTGATGCTCTGTCATCTTGGT